GGTATTACCGTGCACAACTCTTGTATTGGCTTGATATTGGCCCCAAACTGATAGAGGAATGCGCGAATTTCACTGAAAACGGGATTGTCCAACGATTGGACCCCGGATATTTAGAATGGTTCAAGAATAGGACGGAGGAGCTCAAAGAAATCATTAAGGTCAGTCTTCTCGCATCTCTTCTTGTATCTCTGCTCAGCCCTCTCGCAGCATGCTGAGTCATGCGCGACTTGGGCAGCTAACCGCAGCAATGACCGAAAAGACGAGCTCGATGACTCTCGCAGATTGCGGCAAGAAGCGTAAGCCGAGTGACACGTTCCTTGTCGCCACAACTAACTATAATCTGTACTTGATAGTATCATAGAACATTTGACTGCCCTAGGATGGGGCGAAGAGATTCCGTTTCACATCGAAGAGTTGGCCGCCCATAAATTGGTCAAACAACCGAAGGAACTGACCAATCGGAGTAGGTTTCCACAGGCTGTTTGTATGCTTTATAGCTGACTCGAACTTAGTCTGGAAAAACATTGAGGTGCCTCTGGTAGAATTTCTCACGACACTGCAGGAGGAACGCCTCGCGATCGCGCGCACCAGAATAATCAAAGAGCGGCGGCTGCTCGCAGCCAAAGTGTACACTGATTTCGTTGCATCTTCTCCTCGGGACGACATATTTCCGCCCAAAGTCGAAGTTCTCAGTACAGAACCGTTCAGATCAGTCATCGAAGACACACCTATTCATCCCGAGGAAAAGCTTACCGAAGAATCGTTCAATGTTGCCATGGTATCTGTACCGCAGTTTGCAGCGTCGTGGAGGCAGCGCAAGGATGAAGAACTCGTACTTATCATGCAGAAAAGTCGCCCTCATTTCAATGCAGATCACCTCCGATTGGCAACGACATTTTTCACTTGTGGTTCCGACCTTGTATCGTATCCACGCATACTGGTGCATTATGCGGCTACGAGGTATAGGTATTCAGGTGATTATACGAGCCTGCAAACCGCACTCCAGTCAGAGGTTTGGAACTCTGGCGATCGAGTTAAATACCTAGAGCGCGCGGAACTCAACGCACAATTGGTTGTGCGAGCATGCGGACTAGATCCTGGTAAGTGAAGATTTTCACTGATAGTGTTCGTCTGACGTTGTCATTAGATGTAACCATGCGCGCTGAAATGGACGAAATAAATCCGGCTTTCGAATGCTTGAACTGTACCGATGAAACGAGCCGACTACTAATGCGCTGGACCCATGCAGTTCGCACACTCCATGCTCTCAAAACTCCCTGTTGATATTCGATTGCACAGATGAATCACCAGTGTTGTCGTAGTTATGAGCAACCCGCTCCAAAGCCCTCCTGGAAGTGCCTGAACATGGAAGAAGAGCGTCTATTAGAAGCTGAAGAGAAAAGAAGCTTTCAGAATGACAGATTCGGATACCTGGAATGGAGCGATCTCTACTGCTGCAAAGCTTGTGGCAATGGTCGCAAGATGGCTTTGTCGAATTTGAAAGTGCATTTGCAGTCTGAGTCCGTGTCAACGTTGAATGTTTTCATGCTTTTAGTGACTGACATACCATGTTTCTAGGCACAACATTTCCGACGAACTCAGTTTCGACCACTTTGAATATCATCCCGATACAGGCATCAGTGACAGATATCCGATGGCGGTCCGTTTGAAGGTCGTCAAAGAGGATGAGGGCAAATCGGCGGAGAGCGACGTGGCAGGAACACCTGTGGTTTAGATAATACATACGGCCTTGATAGAAGTTTTGAGTTACATAGATTCTATAGCCCATGGTCAATTGACCGACTCAATGGCTTCGGATTCCGTCTGCAGACTGCGAAGATCGTCTCGATAACTCTCTTCTGGGCAAACAGCATTGTATTGTTTCGACTTACGGCGACGACAGTACTACAGACGGCGATGAACACGAGTTTTGTGTGCCTAGGAAAATAGGAATGCACTGTAGGAATGGGGGATGTTCATAACGCGAAAGATGTAGCAGTAGGAAACGATTAAACCCTGGACATGCTTCCGAGGTCGTTTCAAGTATTGGGCCAGATGAGAGTTGGTTCGAAGAAAGCGCATCATCGTTGGCGTACGTCTGCGCAATGAGGCCATAGAGAGTTTCGGGCTATCTAGTCGCAACTTGGGTGAGGCTACTGCTGTCGTTTGTCTCGGCATTCGAGTAGGGGCACGCCGAGCATACGGAACGCAGCGGATTTGCGTCCTGCTTCCTCGGTCGATGATTCGGATGAATTCTGGCTGCCCTCCGCGACGGCCGGGAAGAGCGCTTGTCCGGCTTCGTCGGCCATGGCACTTGGTCGACTCGAGCCTGACTTTGAATGAGACCGTCTCTGCGTGGAGATATATGAAACCACGACACGACCACGGCAAACGAAAGCATTTGGAATGTCGGCTGGTCGATGTTGTGCGCTCCATAGGCACCTGCAGCGTATGGTGGGGCAGATGATATCGAGGGGAATGATGTACGAGCGAAGTCAAACGGTGAGATATGGTAAGGCGCGATCAAGGCGAGAGCGGGGGTAGCCCTGGCTGGTAGAGAGAAAGTGCGAGAGAATTTGCATGGCGCTGTGTCAGCGAGGGACTTCCACTACAGCCAGAGTTCTGCAAGAAAGGCCTTGTGTCCGGTGGATGTAGATGGTTGAGACATAAGAAGAAACGAAGAGCAGGCAAGGGCGACGTTTCGGGAGATTGATATGTTGAGGGGAAATTGAAATGTTGGGCTCAGGACACGTTGTGAAACAGCAGATTCACGAGGGTAGACGAGGGTTTGAAAAAGATGCTGAACTCGAGAGAAGATTCGCAGATAGAGGTTGGATAGAGGCGAAGCGCAAGAAAGCGTGAGAGAAAGACGTCACAACAACGTGCAACTTGGAATGAACTTTCATGATCACTTTTCCCTTGCGTTTTGCCTCGTCTTTTCGAGTTTGAACTGGGAGCACTTTTGGCCACCAGCAACACGATTTTTGCTCCATCTTGATCATCTCCGAGTTTTTTGAACCCTTGTTTCTGCCCGCCTACGGCACTTCCGATCGCTCTTCAATCTTTCTCTTCAAGTTGAATGGAGTCTTTCCCAACAATCACTGTTGCTAGTACATATGCATGGTATCCGGCGTGGCATTCACTTGCAGGCTCCTGACTGTTTGACGTAACTCTGCTCTCCAACTCCAACGGTGCTCTGATAGTAACAACTTTGCCGGCCACGCTACTACTAATCCCTGACGCCGTTTTCACCCTCGAAATGGCACGACCTCCATTCATTCTGTGTCGATAAGCGACGCAATAGTCTTCCTCTTCTTTGTGCACGACTTTTTGATCAAACCGAGCGTGTACATCCCATTGTGAACACCAAACTCAAATGTGTACTGGATTGAAGACCGTTTTACTCATGTTTTGCGACGCACGCACACAGCGAATGGCGGGAATGTCACTCTTAATCGACGTACTGCAGTGAGGATCAAATGAAGGCTTTGAATTCCATCTCTAATGAGCTGACTGGGGTATCACCTTGTTTCTCAGAAATCGTGAACGTACGTCAATAACCACCGAACACTGTGGCATCTTTTGGGACGGCCTGCAACGAAAACGCCGCGAAGATGGTAACAGGTGGCAAGAATTCAACAACGTGCATACCCTGCACGACGGAGTAATTTTTCCTCAGTGAATGCCGAACAGATTCGATTCGTGGCAGCCCTATATCTGGTTTGAAATTCTTCACAGATAAGGTTCAAAGCTCAAGTCATACGCTCGGTATACATGGGAAACCCAGCGAGGATAGACCCCAGAATCAAATGTCCTCGTTCATATCTCTCCTCCGTGTTTCAAGGTATCATTCGCCGTTTCTCTCTATGGAGCTTGCCCTCGTCTCCGCGGTTGTTGAAATACCTCTCGGGCGGCTTTACGTGGCATACGGAAGAGCTCCGGGCCCTTCAACAAATCACAACAGAATGAGTATCTACTCACGCGATCCGGCAAGCAGCCTGCATACAGAATCTCTATATGCTTGGAACAGAGCCGCCAAAATTCGGTGACCGACTATTTATCCGGAAACAACGAAGCGCTCAGTGCCCCGCACGAGTTACCAATTTCGGCACATTCCAACGAATTCCAACCCTTCCTTTGCAGAAGCATGGCGAAGAGCCACAAGAACCGTGTTATGGCCACGGAACAGACCGCACAGAGACAACATGGAATCGCGTCTTCCATATCCTTGTGTCAATCTGCCTGTATACCTCTATGTGCAATCCATTCGTTTCTTGTACAGTATTCAAGAGACTCTTGTGGCCAGCGAATAAACATCGATATTCGGCAAGCGGTATCGAGTCCGGATGATTGTGAGCTGCTAGTAGCCTGCTACCTGTGCAGACACATTGAAGTTCTTGTTCTCTCTAAGCCTACGAAAATCGACAGAAGTACAAGTATCGGAACTTGGTGATTTTTAACAGTGAGTTGAGTTGCGACTTCTGGAATTCTGGAGAGCCCTCAGTGCATTGTTCTGTGTTGAACCAAGCAACCTTCTTGCCTGGTTGGAACAGGCGACACGCGCTATGTGCGCCTGTTCGAGCTGGGCAAATTCCGCACGATTTCCAGTGTCACAAAAATCCGAAGTGGGTTATAACTAAATAACTACTTCTACCAGTGATCTATGTTAGAGTTATAGGCGGGGTATGAGTAGTTTAAACCCTCAATTGCATATGTCTCCAACGAACTTATAACCCACACGTTATACGTAGCTATAACCCAATTCCGATTTTTTGCGACAAGACTAAGTAGAAAATGCGGCTGGGCAGAAGTGACAGCGAGGCAGAGAAGGGTCGGCATACAGTCGTCCTGCGGGAGGCTGGACCTGCCTGGTTGGAACAGGCGACACTCAGGAATCTCGATGTCCGACTTGTAAAAAATTTTGAGACATTGTAGCCTACAGTATTCTATATCGTTCTAGAGGGATAAAAATGTTCAACGCAGGATGTTGCAAAACAATATCCGTCTTGCCTGGTTCGAACAGGCGACACCCAGATGACCAATGCAGGTTACAATTACAGTCTGATGCTCTTCCAACTGAGCTAAAGACGGATTAAAGATTGGCAACAAAACATCAAATATGACATGCCAAAGGGTTTCCCTACACAAATTTGGCACCTCCCACCTCGAAAATCGTCTACGCCAATGTAGGCGGAAGCTCCCAAATGATAGAAAAGGTCTTAGGTGCCAGAAGCCGATGGATATCAGTGAAACACAAATATTCTGATGGAATCGGTTGTCGTAAGCTATGTGACGAGATTATGCTCTCCAGACAATTTTAGAGACTATTTCTGGTGTCAAGCTATATGCCTGTGTTCAAAATACGCGGAAGAATGCGCTGGAGAGCGCCTATTGAGTGAAATTTTTAGCTCCTTCCTAATCGGGTTGCGAAGCGGTTGTTTGCCACTGCTTGCCGCGATCATTTGATGCTTGACCTCACCTTCAAGTTGAGCTTGAGCGCTGAATTAGCGGCGAGACTGATTCACTGCTACGTATACTATTCTCTCGCGCTGCCGCCCGAACAAATCTATCTGGAATGGGCTGGAATCTTAGACGTTTTACCGTTCTCTCACAATACGGCAGTCTCTGGTAATGCGACGGCGACTCGGCGCTTTGTTGCTTCCAAATTCTTGCAATCTCATACACTGCTAGTCAGAAACACAAATTTCCGACAGCAAAACTCCTGGAGCGGTCAAGGCTGACCGACTGTACGACTCTAGTACGACTCTCACTGTTGACAGCCTTCGGCGTCACGGCTTCCTGATCCTTGCTTCCTCTTCTTTGCTCAGCTGAGACTCTGCGCGGGGTATTCTGCCCACCTACTCAAGACCCGCACAGACGTCGCTTGAATCGCACTCCACGGCCTTGGCTCCCCGGTGACCGTTTATTTAGGGCTTCTGGACTGCCTCATTGGCTCCTTCGGCGAAACGAGTCCGTTTCTGGCCTCAAAGAGACTCACCTGGCGATTGCTGTTCAATAATAATGTTTCGGCTTGCTCTGCTTCGACGGCAATGAAAGTGTATAAAAGGCATTCTTGGTCGAGCTGCAGACTCAGACCATTCTCATTCACTCACACAACATGAAGTTCACTGGATTCGCCTCTCTCTTCGTCTTCGCTGTCGCTGCTCTGGCCGACACCGTCGCTTACGATCAGACATACGACAATGCCGCTACGTCTCTGGACGTCGTCGTGCGTATTCATCCTTAATTACATCCCGCCCAACGAGCCTCATCGTACGCCTAGGCTTGCTCTGACGGCTCCCACGGAATGGAAAACCAAGGGTTCTCGACTATTGGCTCCCTACCTAAATTCCCCTTTGTTGGCGCAGTCGGTGCCATCGAGGGCTACAATTCGGTCAATTGCGGGACGTGCTGGCAGTTGACCTACGCGGGCACCGGCAAGACCATCAACGTGATTGGCATTGACCATGCTGCTCCTGGAACCTTCAACATCGCGCTCAGCGCCATGAATACGCTCACGAATAATCAGGTGCGGTTGCTTTGGTCGTTCTTATTGCAGAAGCTCAAATGAGTCGTATCAGGCCGTCCACTTGGGGAGAGTTACTGTCACCTCAAAACAGGTGGCAAAGTCTGTCTGCGGTCTCTAAAATAATCCAAGGTCAATCGTTTGCGTCATCTGAATGATGCAAGCAGCATATACATCGGACATTGGTATCTACATCACGGACTCTACACTGCACACGGACTTTGTTGTTGAATAAACAATTGATTGTAACCCACGAATGGTCAATCTGAGGACCCTACACGCCCTAGGCCAATTTCTGAACACACCATCAAGCGTAGTCCCATCGACACGCTGCGTTCTCCGGATTTGCCATAAGCTATTCAGCCGTCGATTCGATAGTGAATGGTGGGATGAATGTGTGAGGTCGCCGAAGGTAATGCGGCATTTGCGCGACGGAAGTCCTTCCGTAAAGTATCGAAGCCCTCCTTCCTATTTGAGCTGCAAAGTGGTTGTTTGCCGCTATTTATTCTGTTCTTGCTCTGAACTTCATGGAGTCCATCATCTGCTCACCCGACGCTACCAAATTCAATGTTCACCTTGCCTTTCAACAAATCTGATTATCTTGCTGTGCTTGATTCATATATTTATCTATGCTGCCAGGAAGACTTTGCAAGAAATCACGGCTTTCCGACTAATCAGGATCCACATTGGCAGCCATCTAGGACTTTGTTGGTTTTCATCGGGTGACTCTATTCGTACTAGTATCCACGAGGACGGCTTTCAGGACACCTATTAATACGTATCACTAGCTGAGTTCTTTTGGCTTTTGCTTCGCAGTATTGCCCGTTTCCTCCGGCTTTTTGGCCGCCTCATTGGCTCCGTGGTATCTTTCACCTCTTAAACAACGTCAAACTCAGATCAACCTGCCCGCTTCGACGGTCATGAAAGTGTATAAAGGGTGGGCATTGTGAATTTGCCATGAAAAACACCCGCCTTGTCGCCGAACATGAAGCTCTCTGGATTCTGCTCTCTCCTCGTATTCGCCGTCGCCGCTTTCGCAGAAGTCGTCAGTTACGATGGTGTATACGATTCCGCCTCAACCTCTCTGGACGTCGTCGTGCGTACTCATCAATTTCACCGCAGTTAAAAGAGCCTCATTTAACATTATGCACAGGCATGCTCCGACGAACTGGAGACCCAAGGATACTCGACGTTTGGCTCGCTACCCGCGTTCCCCTTCATTGGTGGAGCTGGTACAGTCGACAGCGCCGGCTCGACCAATTGCGGGACGTGCTGGCGATTGACTTACCCGAAGACAGGGAAGACAATCAATGTGCTCGCCGTCGACCACGCTGCGCCTGGGACCTTCAACATTGCGCTGAAGGCTATGAATAACTTGACGAATAACCAGGTATGCTTGCTCTCATCGACAATCATGATATCTCTTCAAGGCTCAAAACACAAATCGCATCAGGCCGTGAAGTTGGGTAGAGTGACTGTGTCCTCTATTCAAGTCGCAAAATCCGCCTGCGGTCTCTAAATCAACTTCAAAGTCGGCTCTTTATAGTCTGATAGTTGTGCTAGTGTAACAATCCTTCTACACTGCACACGAACTGTGTTGTTGAGTAATGAAATAGAATGTGGAATAATGCAATGGAGTGTATTGAAATCAGAGCCCAGCCCTGCGACGATTCTATGAGAGTGAAGTACATAATTTAATTGTGCGGGTCTCTAGTACACAAAACAAGTGATATGATAATGTAAGTACAGGAATAAGACAAGAATAAGGAGAAATGAGAGATGATGACGATGATGCGTGCCTATGTTCGATGTAATTGTAACAGAGTAAGGAGAAATGATTTTGATTCGAGGGAGAGGACGCTCGATATGTTGTTGCATGGGAGCAAGGTTCATGTGAAGGAGTGAGACGCATGTGGGGCATGTAGATAGCAGCGAAAGCGACGAGACATATTGTGACAGAGAAAAGGAGTCATTGCAGGAATCAAAAGAACGAGACAGTGAGATGTGTGTGTGTCAAACGAATGGATGAATAAAAATGCAGGAGACGATGCCGGTGTGTATAGTACAATATAAAAGAGAGACAATGAGAAGATAGATGGACACGCTCACTCCTCGAGCATCATAACTTCCATGGCGCCTCCGTGAAGTTGTACCTTCGCCCACTCGACCGCAAACTTGGACGCCTTGAGAAACTTCCGATGCGAGTATTTCTTGTAGACGTATTGGCTTGTAAAGTTGCGTTCGGCGAGCTTCTCCACCAACATCTCATGCCCCTGCATCACCTGCTCCTCCGTGTACCCAGAGTAGTAGACAAACGCTTCGTTCTAAAAAAGGAAAGTATCAGTAATTGCCAAATTGGGAACGAATTTGAAAAAAATGAAAAACGACTTGCCCAGTCGCCATCAAGCATCCTTCGCGCTGAGTACATGCCCACAGCAGCGATGAGACTCGGCTTCGCCCGCAGGAATTTATAGTCCAAGAGCGTCACCTCGGTGAGGAATTTGCTCAAAGTTCTCGTCTGAATGTCATAGTCATCGGCTTTGCTGATTTTGCGCATCCAGCTGTAAGGCGAGCAGTAGTGCGAGATTCGGAACTCGAGGGTCTGCAGCATAATGCGTTCGCCCTTGAGTATCTCCTCCTTGCTGTACCCGTTCTCGGCCATGTAGACAAACTCCTCCACTGACGGCGCGAGAATCTCTTCGTATTTTGCTGCGATGAACATGGCCGTGATCCCGACGAGTTGCAGCTTGATCAGCGAGACAGCGCGGTGGGTCAAGAACCGATCAACGATATTGATTGCAATCCAGAGAGTCTCGGGTAGCATGTGGTACCGGAGATGGACTTGCAACAACCAGTCGACGAGGGTCTGGCGCATCGCCCAGGTAATTTCGTTTTGGTGGGACATATAATCTGCATTAGGCATCATTTGGTCCTAGCAAAACGATGTTAGACGAACGCTTCGAAAGAACCAAACCAGACATCTACCTCGAGGTCGTTCATATATTCAAAAATGTCCTCCGCATACTCCGACACCATGTTGGTGTCATAGATATCAACATCGTCCTGGAAAGTGTCGCGAATCGCTTGAACTTCCTTCTGGTATTGAAGTTTACGCTCCGTTGAAACATCTGGCCAGACTCGGGCAGGCTTTGCGGCCTTCTCGGTTTCCTCTTCGAGTTCTAATTGGTCCTCATCGCTATCGTCCATCGGTTCTACCTCTTCCTCTGAATCGACTTCCTCGTCTTCTAGCTCGACCGGCGCGGCAAGGTCCTCCTCAACGTCCATGGACATCCGCTCTTCCTGGTGGCGAACATCGTCGTCGTCATCTTCGGAGGCGGCTAGGACAGGCGGAGGTTCGACGCGAATGGGCCGTCTGGTGTTTGCCAAGACGGGTATCGTCTGACGCAATGGGCGGGATAGAGGAGCACGAGCGGGGACTACGTTGGCTACAGGGGGAGCCACTTGACTTCTGCCAGGACCGAGAGGTACGCGCTGGGCGAGGATGGTGGTGGAATCGGAACGGAGACGCTTGACGCCAGTCTCTGGCTTGTCGGTGCCAGCGGCG